TTTAAGGTGTTGTGACTCATCCAGAACGTGTAAACCGCTTGCTGCACTGCCGGCCTTCTCCACGCTGCAAAAACTCAAATCTGAGCGACTGATTAGTCATATTTCTTGTCAAAGAAATATCAAATGAGTTCCTTCTACAAGTCCTACCCTTGGAGAATGAACTTTTGGGAGGAAAATAAAGTCTCTAAGATGACGTTTAGACCCGGTTCTCTGCAGAAAAAGTACCTCCAAAGAGTCCCCCAGTTACTGAGGAAAGTTCCTGCAGTAGAAACTTAAATCAGTGTTTGTCAAACAGTATTTCACTGGTCACAGTTACCTCCTGAATGTCTGTGTGCAGCTGGAATATCTGTCCCTCCCCTTCCACCTGTCGCACGCAGATCTTACAGCTGAGCTGAGACACGGCCAGGCTGCCTCTCTCCAGGCTGAAGGTGCAGTGCAGGGGTCTCTGACTGCCGCTCCAGATGTGGTAGAAGGGGATCTCCTGTAAAAAAGAAGGTGATTAAAGTGGTTTTGTCCTGAGCTGTACAATCAGGAAGGATCTGGAACACATTTTCCATTCAGTGAGAAGGTTATAAAACTTTTTCTGTATACTGAGCGTTTTACAACAGCTGGGTCTCCTCTGTGTGCAAGACGATAAATTATATCTACTGTGCACTGTCCATAAATTAGGACCACTATCAGATTTCCTGCAAGAGAAAGCTGCAGAGGGTTTTAATGTTTCCTCCATAAGATAGAAAGTTCACAAGCTGTATTTTCTGAAACATTTGCTTTTTAAGCCAAAGGGTTTTTTTTGCACGTTTTTTAAGTTGGACTGATATCTTATCTCACCTGATACTTTGCCAGTAGTTTGCTCCTCCAGTGGGTGTGAGGGATGTCGTGGATGGACAGACGGAGGTTGTGGTAGCTGTCTTTGAAGAGCAGCGGCTTGGGATCCTCCAGCAAAACTCCACCGAGACTCCTCTCCAAGTCCAGCACCTCCTGCTCGGGCGCACAACCAAAACCAAGAGGCATTATTGTGTGTTGGATCATTTCAAACTCGGGTCTTCAGAAGTGCTTAATTAAAAACAACAAATATCGTCTTGAGTTTGCATCTCCAAACTGGGAAGGATGAACGTTTTGAAAGCTGTTTGAACTTAAACAGCCAGAAATCATGTCAAGTGATGCCAGTAAACTTCACACAGCACGCTGGTGTTTACCGCCACCCGGCTGCTCCGTCAACACTTCACACAAAACGGGACTAAAAGAGGGAAAACAGTAAACATAGAGAGTCCAAGTTGCTCTGGATGGACTGCTGCCTTTTTTCTGTTCATTAGGGGCTGAGCGTTGTCTTTTGCTGTGTTATTTTGGGTCGACACTTCTGGTGTCTGCAAGAAGATTCAATAAATTAATCCAGAATTTGATTTGGGGCGAGTAAAGCGGACCTGCAGGGGCTCAGTTTAGAGAGAGTGGGACTCCTTTATTGCACAGCACCACTATGCAAATAATTTAGATACACTTCTAATGTTATTATCCTCTGCCATGCTTCACCTGAGTCACATGATTTATAGTCTGGTGTATTCTTTTTTTTTTAATAAAGCACATTTTTAGTCTTCACATGTCGAGCCCCTATACCGGAGAATATGTACAGTATTTATATTTCTACTTTTTAGTTTAAGTCTTTTTGCACTTTTGAGCACGATATCAGTGAATCAGCATGAATATGGTCGTATGTGGTGTCCTTAAAAAGGTCCAAACAAAACATTTCAGCAAACATCAAAACTTTTACAAAGCCCCTGAGGTTTTGGAAAAAAAAGCAATAAACAGAAAAAATAAACCAAAAAAAGGGATTTCAGATAGCACTGCAAAAACTTGTAACAAAATTCAAAATCCTAATATTTATAGTTTAAAGGGTTTGTTCCACCATAATACAACTTTCTTTTTTAATAACTTGTGATTTCTAAAAGGGATGCACCCCGGAGCTCCCACTTAAAGGATTTATGGACAAGTGACGTTTTGAGCCAGCAGCTCTTCCTAAGACGCCCTGAGGTGTGCCGATCTTCTTTACTTCTCTTTACCTATTTGTGTTTTTTGGATCCAGCACTCACTAAGGCAGGAATTCTCAACCTTTTTTGGCTTGTGTACTCCCCTTTCAGAATTGTTTTCAGCCAAGTCACCCCCAGGAACATTTTTCGGCTTCCACCTCATTTTCCCCAACTGATTCGTTTCTCGTTTCCACAACCTGTTCACTTTTATCTTCCTGGCTGCGCTCTTGTTAGCATGCAAACTTACATGCTTGGCTCTCTGAAAAATTCCCGTCAACAGACGGAGGCCCTCTGGTCGAAGCGGCTCTGCACATTAGCTATATTATAAATGAATATCCTCAAGTTGGAAATAGTGCCCTATTTGATAGAGAACAAATGCTGTTAATTAAGTCTGAAATCAGTGTATGGATTTTCCTTTAAATAATTAATTGGCTTGTTGTGATGCAACTTTTCTCAAATTACATTTGTCATGTATCTCTTGCAGTACTCCCCAAATGGGCAGTACCCCTAGGGGTATGCCCATTTGAGAAACGCTGCACTAAGGGATGTGTGTGTCTTTTTTAAAATCTTTAAAAGGACATTCCCACAAACACATGTTTACACAGACAGAGACAGAGAGTCACATGATCGTCACCTTGAGAGCGTGCGGGGTGTCGTGGATGCAGTAGATGCGCAGGCTGTAGTCCAGGGAGAGGCAGGGGGCGCGAGGGGCGAACAGGGCCAGCTGAAGGCGTTTGCAGGCGGGCTGAGGGGGGCAGGACTGGCCCACCAGGCCGTATGTTCCCAGCTGCTCCATGAGGACGTGACAGCACTCCTCCTCCAGCTGCAGGTAGCAAGGAGACGACAACGTCTCCTCTCCTACCGTCAGCACCTCCTGAAAAAAAAAGGAAGTGAGGTTGAAAAACGGCCTATAAATCCGATGAGATATCTTTTATTAGTGCGGCAGTCAAGAGGCGGTCTGACCTCCCAGGCGCCCTGGTGCGTCTGCGTCTTCAGCGTGAGGGTCCAGTCAGGCGTCGGCGTGTCGAGCTGGGCACAGTGCGGCAGAGTAAGGACCACAGGGCGGTTAAGCAGCATGCCGGACGGGCCGCAGCTCACCACAGGACTCAGGACGGTCTGGCTGCCCTCGGAGGGAAGCCTGGAAATGTCACACACACAAACACATAGACTCTGAGAACACAATGCAACAGTTTTCCAAAATGTCGCACTTGAGTTATAAAAGAACCATCATCACACCGTGGTTTAAAAAATGCTGCCACACTGAAAATCAAAACAGAAAAAGTTGTCAGGAAATGAAATCCACTCTGACTTGATGTAGAAGTTGAAATAAGCTGATTATTTTTTTTATCCTTAGAAAAAAAAAAAGGGAAAGAACTCCTGAAAAAAAAAAAAACTTCAAGTGGCTCTCGGTGGGTGATCCACACAGAGGAACATTTTCTGATTGAGGTGAGAACGAGGTTTGTTCTGCTCCATGTTTGCAAAAGGAGATGAGTTGAAATAGAGAGGATGAAGAAGCACACTCACGTCGTTTTGTCCCACTTGTTGATGATGAGGTACATCTCGTAGAACTTCCCCTGGGGGATCGTGCCGGGAGGGACCAGGAGACTCACACCTTGAGGGGAGGAAGTTGTTACTCATCTTGTCTCATGTGTGATGAACTGATTAACATAGCTTCACAAAGCGTGCATCTCAATTTTGGTTTCTTTTTGCATGTGATAAGAGGGGAGTACAGATACTCCTACAGGATTGCAATTGGCAGGATTATTATCCTTTCTTTTGTATTTTGTATTTCAGGTTTTGCATAAGCCATAACATAATTGCATCACACGAGTTAGGATATGTGGATTTCTGTCAGCCATGTCTGGGTGTGAGGATTGCTGTCATTGTCGCATGGCCTGACTCTGTACCCTGAGGAACTCCTAAACTAAAAAAATGAGTTTCCCAGCTTTAAAATGTGATCATGACTCACTTCTCCACCAGCAGTGCACTGATCTTATTTGCTGCTATAAACCAGTAGTTTCTCATGTTAGCCATATTACATGTTACTGTTCTGTAGGCCACTGTCCGGGAGAGATAGGACGAGGATATGTGGATATGCTGTCAGTCGTGTTTTTTAAAAGCAGGTCTACTCCTGATTGCATTTGTTTCCATCTGTGACTGTGATGCATACAATTATTTTAGATGCAATAAATATGAGATTCATCTTTCAAATCGCTGTGTGTGAATATGTGATGATTCTTGTGACAGAGGAAATCTGGTCTAACAATCAATTCAGATCAATTTATTTTAAAGGAGCAGTATGTAACTCTGAACCCTAGTGTTTAAAATGGGTACTGCAGGCAAAATCCCCCCCCTAGTTTGAGCACGTTTCTGCTCGTGGAGCTTATTAGAAACATGCAGAGGCTTTTTAGGTCGGGTACAATCACTTCTATCTGAACCACTTCTCTTGACCGCTTCCATCACTGCAACACCTGTTGACCTGATAACTGCTCTCATATCTGACAAACTGAGGGGCGTCCAAAACGGCCGTGTGGGGGGGTGTCTTAAAAGCACCTACCTTCTCTGGTCCAAACAAATCCAGAGCATTCAGGAGCAGAATCTAAAGTTAGAAGGAGGACATACTGGCTGCTGCATTGTTGTCAGAGAAGCCAGCAATTCAAATTCTTGGACATTTAACAGTTTTTTGAAGCAGTTTTGAACGTCTATTCCCCAGACAAATGCCTGTTGGGAACATTTCAGAGCCTCTATGTTCTTATTTTTTCTTCCCTTTAGAAGCTGATTCAGAACTTCTACTTTTGCAAGAGTCTTTTTAGTTCAGTAATCTGTGCTAGTACTTCAGTAAAGAGTGTGCATTTTGCCTCCTCTGACCTGTGTTTGGGATGGTCAGACGTCCTCCCAGTGCTCCCAGAGTGGCGCTGGTGCTCAGCCCGGGCTCCCTGGACAGCGTGTGGCTGTGGTAGTCTCGCTCTCTCCCCACCGTGCCCACCGACTTCAGGCTGAGGATCTCCCCGTCGCCCAAGTACATGTCCGGGGGGAGCTCCAGGGAGGAGAGAGTGGAGCCGTTGTACACCTTGATTTTGAGGCCGGGCAGGGGGTCCAGCAGGGGGGAGGTGGTCATGGGGATCTTGTGCGGGCTGTCGTTCACTGCCTGCTGCAGGGAGAAGAGTGGGCCCCGGAAAGCCCCCGCTGTGGCCGTCAGATCGGGAGGGGCAGAGGGATGCAGAGGGTGAGGGTTATCTGCGGACAACAGGAGAAAGAGAGGAGACGTTCTTTTAATCTCCAGAGACGACGCCGGGCAGAGCGGAGAGAGCGCTTAAAGTGACACGAGAGGAACGGATTAATGTTGTTAATTAATATTTGATGTCAGGAACAAGAGGAGGGATACCATGACAAATGCTTTCAATGTAAAAAATGTAATGCAGTAAAACAGAATGGAGAACTGACTAAGCGAGGGGAGATAACGGCATTAAGAGAATTAATTTATGGGCTGATATAAATAGAATGAAGTGTGAAGAAGTGCTTTTAAAGAAATGAGAGTGTGCACGTCTACTGATTGATGTGTTTGACGTCAGTGTGTGATTTTACCCTGTCTGGGAGGCTTGTAGTTTCCAGGGTGGAAGGCGGCGGTGAGAGCCGAAGAGGAGTCGGTGATGTCGCCGTGGAGATGGCGGCATCTGCGGCGATACGCGAGCACCCCGACACACAACACCAGGATCACACACAGCAGCAGGGCACCCACCAGACCGGCATAGACCGCGACACCCATACCGGGGGCGAGTGCTGAAGAGGAGAGAGAGAGAGGCAGGTGGTCAAAAAAAAAAAAAAAAACACCATAAAAAGACACCAGAGGGGAAAACACAGAAACATAAGTGAGGGAAACACAAGAGGGAGGAAACAAGTTTTAGAGAGAGCGTCTGATTTACTAAGAATCCACTGCAGCAGGAAGAAGCATGAATTAGTGATTGCAGCGTTAGTTAGTGTTGAAATGATTTAGTCCAAACAGATGATTCTTAAATGTGATTATGAGATATTTGTCTCTCTCGTCACTGGAAATACAAAAACTCTAGATTTTTATCAGATAAAAACAAGCGACATGAAGTCAGCATGTTGGGCAAATTGGGAAATCGTGATGCCACTTTTGAAATTAAAGAGAATTTATCCAAACCTTTTGTTTTTACTGAAACTGAAATAAGCTGTGGTTTCAGACCTTTTTCTTCCACTTAGGTATCCATAGTTTAAGCTGAATCTGAAGCTAAGAAAAGGTTTTTGACATGCCTCTTTCTACATTGAATTCAGTATAAGTGTTTGTAATAGTCTCTCCTGTCCATGCCCAGTTTATAGAGATCCATGTCAGTGTTTTCAGGGACTCAATCCTCGTCCTTGTTATGTCTAAAAATACATCAGCCAAAAAAAAAGTAGATTTGAAATTGCAGATCTTTACATGTTATGTGGTAAACATTACCAATCAGACACTAGTTTATTTTTTATTTACAAAGCAACCTTACTATCCTCCAATCTTAAAGATGATATTCAGAACCTTATTTGTCTGAATGTTTTGCAAATTTTCGCTCCAAAAATCCAAACTTTAAAAACTCGAGTCTTTTCCTAACATGCACAGTACACCAAACAGCATGTGACCAATATTTCTGTGCACCATTTTTACGAGAGTATCTCCTGCTGCGCTCTTTTCATCCTGACAGACTGCTCACTGAAATGTACTAGAAGGCTGAGGAAAACTTTAGGATGAAGTGCAGAGCATGATGATTGCAGCTCATCCTGAACATTTTTGTGCATTTTGGCACGTGAGAATCACCACATGTGACTGACTGATATTTAAGTTTCGGCTGATCTTTGAAATGTATTTTTTACTCAGAACGAGGACTGAGGATTTTGCCCCCCCCCCCCCCCAACCATCTGTTACTTTGAGATCGCGATGAGAAGAGGAGATCTTCACAGGCAGAGTGGACGGCAGTGACCGATGACTCTTTCCGTTTAGTTCTGGGCATTTGGGTTTGTTTTAAGACGGACCTATTCTTATTCTAATGCTGTTCCCAGTGACCCTAAAACAAAGCCCAGCTCCTCTCCTCTCTCCTGGGTGATTGGTCAGTGAGCCCACCATAGCCCGTCTCCTAAACACAGACAGAGCCGTACCCAGCCTGGACACGTGATCCGGTCACAGCACAGCAGAGAGGAAGCAAACGAGGAGCGAGGTTTGGCGAGAGACAATGTAGAGCAAAAAAAGAAAAAAAAGAAGAAGAAGAAGTGGTGGAGACAGGCTGGATAAACAGAGGAGGAGAGAGTGAGAGGAGAGGCAATTTGGCAAAAGTGATAGCAAGGTGTTAGATAAGGTTGTGATTTGTTGAGAGGACAGACGGATTAGGAGGGAGGAGGAGGAGGGAGGAGATAAGCAGAGCTGTGCTGGAGGAAAAAAGGCCTGTGTGTTAAAAGAGCAGGCGAGAAGTTGGAGGAAGGCGCAGACGCTACAGAGAGGAAGAAGAGGGGAGGCTGGAGGCAGACGGGCTTGGCAAGAGGAGAGAGCTCCGGTGCTCACGTGGCTGCGATGGAAGCGAATCCGACAGCCGTCCGCACTTATTACCAGAAACGGAACAATGGCGAATTAGGTGCATTACCGCGGCTGCTCTCCCCTGAGCCCACGTCACATCGAGCTACGGGAATTACCATCACTTTCAAATGTAAACTATATCACAGATTAGCAGGAAGTCAGACAGAAATCAAATGGTTTTTTTTCCCCCTGCAGAAAGCGCTGTGCTTCCATGTCATGTCTCAGCTTAGAGGCCTGTCAGTTTGCTGCCTTCAAACAGGAGCTGCAGATTTTTTTTATTTTCACCTGACAGGTCGGGTTAGAGTCAGATGAAAGTTTTGTTTTTTTTTAGGAGTTTTTTTTGAGCCTGTTTACACCTGGTATCAAAATGAATCCCGGTCGTTAGATTCAACACGTTTCTCAAGTGATACCTTGTGAAGGAATCTCACTTCACGGCTCTATATGCAAATAAACAGGCGGCACAAATCATCGTCATAGCAACCAAAAAAAACCATTAACTCTTAAAAAAAAAGCTGTGATGCATCCTCACAGCAGAAAGAATGATGTTCCTTGTTAACATCGACTTAAAACAACATTATGAAGGATTCAGTTGGTGAGCTTTGGCGACCACTGAAGGTCTCTGAGTGCAACTGCACTGTCATAAAAACAGACTGTAAATATTAAAGAATGAAGCCTGAGTGACATCATCCATCTGTTCCTGCAGGGGGCGCTGGACGCTCATCGACAGCAACCGCCATGTTGGAAATCCTGTCTCAACCTAACTTTCAGTCGACCTAACGACAGGCTGAGAGCTGGAGCTGAGGCGGGTTTTAAACCTCCTGACAAACCGTCACACCGCGCCCACCTGTCAATCAGGTCAGCTACACGCCTAACAATGGATAAAATAAAAAATGGAGCAGTTAAAAAAAAATTCAACCCCCGGTACAGAGTGTGACAGTGATGACAATAACTAATCAAATCTATTTGGTTTTTAAACATGTTAATCTATTCTGTAAAAACATTTTTTTTGGCCTGTGGTGTGTATGTGACTTCCTGTGTTCCTGCAGCCAGCCTCTAGTGGACACTCGATGAACTGCAGGATTTTGCACTTCAGCATTGGCTTAATTTTTCAAGACCGGAGGTTGCTGTTTGCTGCACACATTGTGTAAAGACATAGCAAGCTAAGTGTCAAACTTGCAGCCGCACTGTTTTGCAAAGCTTTCTCAAATGTCTCAAGGCATGTCTACATTTTTCCTCTAGTCCGGCTTCTTGCTCGATCAAACCAGCTTTCGAATGACTGAATGAATGATCACATTTTAGTGCTTCCTTAATGCGTTTATATCTGCTGCTTTAAAATTAGTTTTTGTATTTTGTCTTTTTTCTGTCCTGTTATGCCATGCCGCAGATCCGGGGACAAATAGGGTTGAACTAGAAGTTGAAGTTGCTCCTGAAGTCTGTTTACTTGTGACTGTATCCCTCAGAATGCATCTTAATACCAGATGTGACTGTGAACAACATTTTCTTTAAGGTGATTTTTCCAGTTTTATTTTTTCAATCTAAAGTTGCAGCAAGGCGTTCAAAGAATGATTCACTGAGCTAACAAGGAGCCAGCTCCGAAAAACTCAGAATGCTTAGTCAACACACGAGACAGGACGGGGGGGGAACAACACTCAAGAAGGTGAGGTGTGTCTTCAATGAACGCGATCTGAGATGACAACACAGTGTGGGAAAGAAGACGAGTCAACACAGAAGAGCGCTGCACACACACAGATGTTAGGACTCACACACACACACACACACACACACACACACACACACACACACACACACACACACACACACACACACACACACACACACACACACACACACACACACACACACACACACACACACACACACACAGTGTGAGGTGATGAGAGAGTGAAGTCATGGGGAGGTGAACTTACGATGGCTTGCATGTTCAATTGAAATCTTTTTATCTGTTTGATCAGGAGAAAAAAATAAGAGAAGAAGAAAAGAAAGAAAGAAAAAAAAACATAAAAATGGATGGACTCGTCGTTATGCAAATGAAACACAACATAATACAAAGCAGAAAGTAAACAATAGCTCATCAATATGAAAATAGAAATGTTCACATAAAAGGCACTCTGCCATCCAGGAAATACACTTTAGATCCTCCAAAAAAATAATAACCTCTCCTTCTTGAAATGCGGAATGAGCTTCTGCATAATTGTTTACATAATGTGCGAGGGAGTACAAGAAGCGTATTTGAAAATGACTGCAGAAGAGATTAGGACTGTTTGGATGAGAGTGCCAAAGTTAAAGACAGTTTTGAAAATGAACAAGGACGCTGGGTGATGTGTGTGTGTGTGTGTGTGTGTGTGTGTGTGTGTGGTACATGAGGGAGTTACGACGCAAGATTGAAAACGTGTTTTTTTACACACCCCGCAGGGTACGTTATCGCCTTCTCAGGAAGAAAAAAAAACAAAAACACACAGCTATCCAGACGGGGACAATCTTTCGGCAAAGTAACAGCGATGCGAATCATCCCTGAGTGGTTTGATGAATGTCAGAAACCATCCTTCAGGATTGTGTCACTTACTCGATCTAAAACAAAAAACAAATAACCTCCTCTCCCCATCAGCATCATTAAAAAAAAAAAACACCAAATGGATTCCCCCGACTTTCACATCCCACCCGATAGCAATTAGATCCTTCTATAGGGGCCGAGAGGAAAGATCGTCTGTGGTGTCTCAAAGAGCGTTTTAAACATTTATGACTGGGGGGTATTTAGCCGCTCCTCGATGGAGGGAATAACAGTGATTGAGACATCAGAGTGGGCTTCTATTGTTTTGTCAGAAGCATGCAAAAAAAACAACAACATCCGAACAGATTAATCCTATTGAAGTGCTGGAACAATAAATAAATCAGTCAGTAACCTGTACTTTGCCAAGTGGCACATCCGCAGATTTTCTCCAGCACAGTGCTCCCCCATCTCCCCTTTGACGGAGCCACTTCAGTGCATGTTTTCCCTGACAGCCTCCTGAGAACGCTCGGCTCTGCAGACAGAGTATTTGTCTAATCTGGCTGCTACATGGAGGGCCTGTTTATGTCAGGGCTCCACGCGTGTGTGTGTGTGTGTGTGTGTGTGTGTGTGTGTGTGTGTGTGTGTGTGTGTGTGTGTGTGTGTGTGTGTGCTACATATGATCCCAAGGTTGCACGTGCATTTTGTTTTATGTGTGTGAGAGGGTTTTTGAAGTGTGCACTTGATGTATCTCGCTGCCTCTGTGGATGATGTGCGTCTCTCTTTCGGGATTCTAATGCGCTGTCAGCTGGATTCCTCCCAGCTCATCATGGGTTGCACATTGGGTGTCAGAGCAGGTCTGACTCACTCTCATATGCTCTTCTTCTCTGTGCTAATTTTTCGACTTGGCCGCGTCATGCTCGCTTCCCTCTCCATGCACTCCCTCCCTCGGCCTCCATTTTTCTCTCTCTCTCTCCATCTGTGTCTTTTAGATGCCTTCTCTCTTTGTGAAACCTAAATTTTGCCCCATGAAACATCTGTCTGCGATTGAGCAGTTACCGCCTTCATCTCTCTCCACAGATCGTTCACGCTCTCACCATGCTGCAACTCTTTGTAAATCTCTTTCTGGAATACACGGCTGTACAAAAATGAGTTTGAAATGCAATGCACCTTTTAAAACTTGACTAAAGAAAACACTTCCTGCAGGACTTAAAAAACAACCTGAACAGCTGCAATTCTACAATTCACTTATCAGACTCTTTTCTCCAAAGCGACGTACATCAGAGAGTAAGAACAACACAAGCAAGGATCTAGAAAAAAGGGAACAATGTGAGTAAGAGCAAACGATCAGCTTTGAGTCTGATTGGACACACAGGTGCTGACAGGAAGTGACCAGAGGTAAGGCACAACATTGAGGGCAGTTCTTGAGAGCTCTAATCAGTATAGAAACCATCTTATAAGTCGTCGTTATCAAACAAAAACCATCGTCATTACCATCATCATCATCAATAATATGGAGACCATCATCATTAAGTTAGTAGGTATTCATGAAAGAGCTGGGTCTTTAGCTTTTTCTTAAAGGTGCAGAGGGACTCTGCAGATCACATGGAGTTTGGAAGTTCATTCCACCACCGGGGGGCGACAGAGGAGAAGAGTCTAGTCAACAGCTAACATGCTACATGGGAAATGACCCCCCCCCCCCACAGAACCTCCACCTCTCTCTGCCACTGGAGGGCGGAGCCAGTTGGGAAAAAGGTAGCCAGGAACAGGGATCCAGGGGAAATTGCCCCCCTGGAGAAGTTGTTTGTTAAAGTGGCCTCTGGCACGTCCAGCACTACACAAAGCTAAAACTGAAATTCTGCTCATCCTAAATTTTATTTCATTCAAACAACCAATAAAGTTAAGAAAAACAAACAAACATAAAATCTCAAATTTGGAATGAAAAGGAGCAGAAAGAAGTTTAAATCTTATAATATCTGCCCCTCTTTCACAAAGCATTAATGAAAACAAAACAGAACACTTCATTCAACTTAATTTTCTATTCAGCACACGGGGCACGTCAGAAACCTTCTTTCATCTTTAACATTTCCAAACTGAGACGTCCTAACTCTGGTTCATGCATTTCTATCTAACCAATGCAATTACTGTGACGAGAAAGCTTCAGCTTATCCTGACTCCTTCAGCCTGAGTGCTAACAGTTACTAAGAAAACACATGACACCCAGTCTGAAAAAGTCTACTTCTGCTTCCAGTCCAGTACAGAATAGTTTTTACTTTGCGTCTATAAAACTCTAAATTGTTTGGCTCCTCTGACCTGTTCTCTGACTACCGCCCAATCAGATCCCTCCGATCATCAGGTATCATCAGGGCCTCTTTAAATGTACCGAGAGTCAAAACAAAATCCGCTGAAGGTGCATGTAGTCACTGAGGTGATGTCCTCTGTAGCAAACTGCCCGCTGGCTGTCTTAAAAGCGGTCTAAAAAACATAACTTCTCTCCCTCACCTGCTTCTCTCAGGGAGCATAGGACCTGTACATTCCTCGTATATGAATGTGAGTGCTGTGTGGGTTGAGTCATTTTATATTTGCCATTATTATACCGCTCAGGGTTGCGGGGGATGTGGGGGTGCTGGAGTCTCTCCCAGGCTGTCACTTGGCGAGAGGCTGGTTACACCCAGAGTCTCCAGTTAACCTAACAAGCATGTGTTTGGACTGTGGGAGGAAGCCGGAGAGAACCTACACATGCACGGGGAGAACATGCAGACTCCACACAGAGAGGCTCCTGTCAGACGAGGATTCAAACCAGGAACCTTCTCGCTGTGAGGCCACAGCGCTAACCACTGCATCACTGATTTCTATTATTGCTTATTGATTTAAACATGGTCAGAAATGTAGAAAATTACTGTAAGAAGAATCGAGCTCTTGTTCATTTTAGCACAAAGTCTGTAAATAACAATTTGTGTGTTGGTTTGTGTGTACTTCGAGTGTGTCTCAAAGATGTTTTCATTGTAAAAAAAAAAAACTATTTAAAGAAAAACTGTTCTTACACTAGACCGATAAATATCGTAGCAGAAGAAACTCCCTTTCAGTGATTGCACCTTTAAGACGGCCTCCATGTGTTTAAATAAGGATGACCCGTCAATGCAACAGCGCAATCAATGCAATTCTTTGTGTTTTCTCCTGATTCCTCTTGTTTATAATTGTCGAGCAGTGAGGCTGACTCTCTGTTCTTTTCAGACTGACAGAGTGGGATGTCATTATTCTCACATTGTTCTGAAGCGGGGGGCTCGTGGTCGTTCTCTTTAATTACATGCAGCAACCTTCACAACAGGGTCCTAAGTCTCTGACTAGACTCTTCTCCTCTGTCGCCCCCCGGTGGTGGAATGAACTTCCAAACTCCATGTGATCTGCAGAGTCCCTCTGCACCTTTAAGAAAAAGCTAAAGACCCAGCTCTTTCATGAATACCTACTAACTTAATGATGATGGTCTCCATATCATTGATGATGATGATGGTAATGACGATGGTCTTTGTTTGATAACGACGACTTATAAGATGGTTTCTATACTGATTAGAGCTCTCAAGAACTGCCCTCAATGTTGTGCTTTGCCTCTGGTCACTTCCTGTCAGCACCTGTGTGTCCAATCAGACTCAAAGCTGATCGTTTGCTCTTACTGACATTGTTCCCTTTTTTCTAGCTCCTTGCTTGTGTTGTTCTTACTCTCTGATGTACGTCGCTTTGGATAAAAGCGTCTGCTAAGTGAATTGTAGAATTGTAGCAACTAGGAAGTCAATATCATATAATTTGAAGAATGTGGGCTTCCATGAGTGTTTGGCCGTTTGGCTACTTGGGGGACAAGGATGGTGGCATTATGGTGATTTAGCTAACAATTGGACACGCCCCTTCTTTCATCCCTCCACATATTGCTTAAAGGCAGCAGTGAACCACTTTAAAAGATACTGATATACTAAAAGGCCGTCTGAAGAATCAAGACACATAACATCCAGGAAATCTATGTGAGCCAAATATTGAATCTCTGCTGACATTTCAGCACCCTCCCGGTTCAAACCCAGGTGACTTACTGCGCGCACACAGCCCCTCGGTGCAGTTTTTGCTCTCCATCATGCTGCCGCCGCAGTGCTTTCCTCCGTTTCTGGGCGGGGGGGCCTGGCACTCACGACTGCGCCAGTGGGTGCACTCGGTCCCACAGGCGGACCACTTTGCCCACTCTGTCCAGCCTCCGTCGACTGGAATGACACAGCAGATAGACGGGGGGGATTTTAAAACAACTTTGGAGTCAGGGAGGGGCTCACACACACACGGGGGTCCAATCAATAACCAGCAGAAGAGGAAAAACTAAATGCAGTAATTTAGATGACTTTGTAATGACTTTGTGAGAGGACCCCACATCACTAAATCAGATTGCCTACATTTCATTTCATTTGTTTTATTTCATTCGTTTTATGACGCACAATGTAGAGAAAAACTTTTTTTTTTTTTTTGCCTTTACAAAGAATGAAAAGGTGCAGGAGGAAAAGAAACGTATAAACCTGCCCTTTGTACACAAAAATAGGTTGAAATTATTATTATAATTTTTTTCTTTCCTCTCATTTTTTTACAAGACATTCATGACCAAATGCTGCTCTGTCCTCTTTTGATCAAGTGTTTTTAAAAGCTGCAACAAGTGAAAAGCCTGTTTTTGTATCTAAAATCTGACTTTAAGTCGCTGCATTCAGCTGAGCATCTGATTTTTCTGCAAGAATGGCCACTTGGGCCTGGAAGGTCGGGGGTTCGATCCCCAGCTCCTGTAACCACATGTCCGATGTGTCCTCGGGCAAGACACTTAACCCCAAGTTTCTCCCACTGCTTTATGTGAATGTGTATGAATGGATGAGTTAATACTGATGGACTCTTTCCACAGCAGCCTCTACCATCAGGGTGTGAATGTGTAGGTGTGACCTGCGGTGTCAAAGCCGAAGGTCTATTTACCACTTTGGTGTTTTCTTAATATTCCTGTGAGCAGATAATAAATGAACAGGTGAACAGGTGTAAGTCCTCCTCACCTGGGCACAGCGTGGTGCAGGTGACTCTCTGGAAGGGCGGGCCCTCACAGAAGGCTCCTCCATTCAGAGGGGCTGGATTGGTGCAGCTGCGCGTCCGTCGCTGCCAGCCCCGCCCACATCGAGCGTTACACTCCGACCACTCAGTCCAAGAAGACCAACCTCCGCTCACTGACACACACACACACACACACACACACACACACACACACACACACAACACACCACACACACACACACACACACACACACGGGACAGATTAGCAGTCTGGCCTCTAATTCGCTTGTATCCAAAGTGTGTAAAAAGATTCAGACTTCTCCTTCCTGTCTGTGTTCTCTGTGTGATGCTTTTTATTTTGCGATTGTAACCACTGTGCTCTTGTTGTGGCCAGGTCTCCTGCCAGGAACGAGTATGAATCTTTAAACATCTCCGGGGTTTAAAGTGAAAAAAAAAAAAAAAACAAATAAAAAAAGTCTAAACCTTTTTTACGTTTGTCGTGCTTTTCTACAAAGCCTGCAAATTTAATTTGGCTTGTAGACACAGAAAGAAGAAGTTCCCTTTGGTAAGGTAACATGTTAGTTTACAAATCATATTTTATTCACTTTTTCTGCAGTACAAAAGCTCGTTCAATTATTTATGATTGCATTTCGGTGTGCAGCTTCTTAGATTTGCAAGACACCTGCATTGCTTCACCCTTCAGACCAACTTTCTTTGTGTTATTTTTATCCTATAAAGTGCCGACCTATCCGTCCGTCCATCTAGTACAGTTTGTGCTAGAAGTCGGGGTGAGCCGATGTGAGAACTCAGGATGTAATATTCAGGTATCTCCTGCTACACGCACTCGATTGGTTCCATCTTTGTGCACATAATGAGGCCGCTTCATTCATTGTTTGCCAGTATGTTTTACACAATCTTTTTATTTATACAGGAAGTCCACTTAAAGTCTTTATATGTGATTCTTCACACTTAAATATAATATAAATCAAGTATATCTGAAAATAACTCTGTGAGTCATGACTGTCTACAATGGGTGTAACACCCGAGTCCCACTGTCTGTGATGCTTTCAGAGTTTTCAGAGTCCTATCTTCACTTTGTTTACATCGCCCGGACGGCCGGCTGACTCCTCCCCTCACGTATAAAAGTTGTTTAATTGAGGGACTAGAGAAAAGAAGAATAACATACTGTACTCACTGCTTAACTGTGTTTCTAGATCACGCTCATTTCAGGTAAATTTACATGCAGTGTGAAGATACGAGCATAATAAAGATCGCTAGCATTAGCATGCTAACACAACAATACACCGCAAGTTGTTTTGGTTTCATGCTGGTGCTCAAGGGCGACATCTGCTGGATCAAAAAATCACATATAAAGCCTTTAACTTAGCATTTATATAATAAGTTTAATCACAGTGTCAGACTCTTGTTAGCCCGCCTGACATCTTTTAATTTGTATTTTTTAATATTTTTGGGAGGCTTTTTATGGCTTTATTTTAGAGATAGGACAGAAGATAAGAGTCAGAAACCTGGAAGAGAGGGAGAGAGAGAGAGAGTGGGGAACAAGATGTGGGAAAGTAGCCACAGGTTGGATTTGAATCCACGCTGCTCCCTCTTAAGGATTTAAGCCTCTGCACATGAAGCGTGCGTACCGGCACCCCTCGTCTGCCATCTCAGGGCGTCCTTCTAACATCTTGTCCTGCCTCATGAGATGCTCCCACTTGTCCCACCAAAAGCAAGATTTCAGCGGCAGCCAGTCTCAAATTTTCCTGAAATCTTCTTGAGTGCATGTGTGAAAACAGCTTCACATTTTCAACAGAAAAACTAACTTTAAGCCTCTCTCAGAAATCACTAAACCTGCCTCCCCTTCTTGTCCACATCATGTCATACCCTGAATCTTTTAAAGTCAGAGAACGTTTAATAAATCACATTTCTTTGAACATCTAACTTCATGCATTTGACTGA